CGCGGCCAGAATATCCCCTCCAGCTGGCTAGTTCGGACACGAACCATTAGCACGGACGCAAACCATGTGCGGTTACCGAGCGATACGACGTAGTTGAGTTGCACTTTCTCAGGCGGCGCGTCGGAAAATGCAACACAGCAACAGACGAAAAAGGCCGGGATGGCCTCTCTCAGGTTTCTCTCTGGTAACGTGCACAAAAGAAATACGTCCAGATAAACGTCAGCAAGATCGCTACGCTATCGCGATTTGCGATGTTTATGTTTATAGTTTATCTGATAATCGCGCGCGCACGAGGAAATCGATAGCGGTTCGATTAATCGAGACGCCAGTCGGAAGGCAGCGCAGCGACGGTGCCGCCGTGCTGCAGCGTACTTCCGTACTTCACGACGTTTACGGCGCGGCGGTAGTGTGCACTGGTGCAGTAGTGTGTGCATGTGTGTGTGACTGTGCGGTCGCGAATACAGGAGACGGGGGAGGCGCACGCTCTCAACGAGAGAGAGGAACGAGGAACGCGATCGACTGCAACCTCGATGCGCGATTTCTCGTTACGCACGTTGGGACCGCGTGGCTCCGAGTGATCAGTGATTTGGATCTCCCCGCGTCCGGTTTGCCGCCGTTTGCGTGCCGCATCCCGTAACCGAGGCTCGGCGAGGCCCTCTCCCCCTGCCCCCCGATCCCGAGCACACGAGCACGCACGCTCGCACGCACGTACGAAGGCGAGGATGGGCGACAAAGACAGAGGGGACGACGTCGCGTCGGTTACGCCGGTGACACCGGAGGACGCGGCCAGGGCGGAATTGTACAAGGAGGAGGCGAACGAGTACTTCAAGAGTACGTAACCGCATGTGGAACACGCGCGATGATTTACTGGTCGGACGCGCGCGCCCCGATTTAACGTCCCGCACGGTCACGTGTGCCCCCAAGCTAACCCCAACCCTTCCGCGGCCGAGGAACGTCGAGGACCGCGCGCGAGTAAGCCCCCCTCCGTTGAGTAAGAGCGAAGGAAAGCGCCGAGGAGAGTAATCTTTCCCGACGGCATCGATTCAACGCCCTGAAAACGTGGTTGATTTCATCCTGGCGCTTTTCGCCGTTTCTTGATGCTCCCCCTTGATGATGGGGAAGAAGTCTCTCCCCCATGCTCATGCTCTTGTAATTCCGAAGGAAGTTAGCGACGTCAAGCAATTTCGCGAATAATGCCGGAGTTTTATGTCGAGAAAACGAGCGGACGACGATGCGGTTGTTGATGTCTTTGCATACTCACCGTTGTGCCTTTTCCTTTTCAGATCAAGTATACGACAAAGCTATTGAACTATATACCAAAGCCATAGAATTAAACCCGACGGTGGCGGTATACTTTGGCAACAGGAGTATCTCCTACCTGAGGACGGAATGCTTTGGATACGCATTGACGGACGCGTCCGCGGCCATCAAGTTAGATAGAAATTACGTCAAGGGTTATTATCGGAGAGCTGCCGCTTACATGTCCCTCGGCAAGTTCAAACAGGCTCTCATGGATTATAAGACTGTCGTAAAAGCTAGGCCCAATGATAAAGATGCAAAGGACAGATACACGGAATGTCAAAAGATGGTTAAAATGTTAGCTTTTAATAAGGCCATTTCTGTTGACGACAAAAAGAACGTAGCTGATACGATTAATCTGGAAGATATGAGTGAGTATTTTTTGATTATTGAATCTTATGAAGCAAATTACTGTAACATTTTTATTATAAATATGATTTCTCAGTGTGAATCCTACTCATTGACTCGCAATGTTTATATATTAGCTGCAAATGTAACTTGTTTATTTTCCTTTAATAATATTAAGACTTTCATGTGTTGTAATAATAATTTTTTTTGTATTTGTACAATTTTTGACACAAAAATAGAATAAAATGTGTATAATTTTTTAAACTGCAGATTGTCTGAAGCTCGTAACATTAATAATTAATCAGAGAACTAAAATGCTTGAATTAATTATTTTTATAGCAATCGAGGATGAATATACGGGGCCTAAATTAGTTGACGGGAAAGTCACGCTGGAATTTATGAAAGATTTACTAGAGTGGTATAGAAATCAAAATAAGTTGCACCGTAAATATGCTTACAAAATCCTGTTGGACATTAAATTGTGGTTTATGGCGCAACCTAGCTTAGTGGACATTACAATCCCTGAAGACAAAAAATTCACTATCTGTGGCGACATACACGGTCAATATTATGACCTGCTTAATATATTTAAGTTGAATGGATTGCCATCGGAGACTAACTCATATGTATCCTTTATAAGAATTGTGCAATTTAATAGATTTAGCTTAATGTAATATAATGTACATATAATGTAATATAATGTACATTTCATATAAAATTTAGAATATTATAATGTAGAAACACATGATATAATTTAGACACTGATACTATACAAAAATCCCAGAATATGTTTCTCTTAACAGTTTCATAGTTATTTAATGGAGACTTTGTAGATAGAGGTTCTTTCTCAGTAGAATGCATATTTACTTTATTTGGTTTTAAATTATTATATCCAAATCATTTCTTCATGTCGAGAGGTACGTAATCTTTCAACATTTATGAAATTTGTATTTATGAAATATATGTACAATATATAAGAATTTCATAATATATTCATGTATACTCAGGTAACCACGAATCAGCCATGATGAATCAAATGTATGGATTCGACGGTGAGGTCAAAGCTAAATATTCTGTTCAGATGGCAGAATTGTTTACAGAAGTTTATAACTGGCTCCCTCTTGCACACTGCCTCAATCGTAAAGTGCTCGTGAGTATTTTTCAAAGTCGTATCGTTTACATATATACGTTTGCAGATATATTTATTGTTTCCGAAATGGGAAATCAGTTGTAAAATTTGTTATAAAGATATGTGAGATGATGATTGGGCTCGAACCTGAAACCCACAAATTATGAGTCAATCGTTCTCACGTAGAGCCACGCATCATCCCATGCGTATCAACGCAATTTTCATACAATTGGTTTGTTATAACCAGGTGATGCACGGTGGATTGTTTTCGCGGGATGATGTGACGTTGCGAGAAATCAGAGAAATTGACAGAAACAGACAACCACCTGACGAGGGATTGATGTGCGAACTGTTGTGGTCCGATCCGCAGCCGCAAATGGGCCGAGCGCCCAGCAAGAGAGGCGTGGGTGTTCAATTCGGACCTGACGTCACGCAGAATTTCCTCAGGATAAATTCTCTTGACTACATCGTGAGGAGTCACGAGGTTAAGAACGAGGGATACGAGGTGGGACATGATGGGAAGTGTATCACAGTATTCTCCGCTCCAAATTACTGGTATGTTGATTATACGCTAACGATTACACGCTAATCCGTTACATCTGTGTGTACAATGCAACTTTAATAATACTACAATAATAATCTTATTGAATTCCAGTGATACTATGGGTAACCGAGGTGCCTTTATCACACTTAGCGGCAGTGACATGAAACCTTATTTCACGTCGTATGACGCAATGGTACGTACTTCATCCACAGATCATGTTTTTATTTTAATTTGAGTTGGTTATTTGCTTTCATCATATTTTGTATTTGCTACATATAATTTTTTTTTTGTTCACGTTACAGCCTCATCCAAACGTAAGGCCGATGGTTTATGCCAACGCTTTTCTAAAGTTCATGTGCTAGTGGAACGTCTCCTAGGTATTATTGAAAAATGAATAATAATAACTGAAATATAAGTAGTCCAATCAAAGCGTGCGTAATATATTTGATACTGAAATGGGGAAGGTAAGAGACACTTTAGGCTTTTCCGCAACAATAATTATTATATTCTTTCTAGGAAATCGAACGATGAATTTCCTGTATTATAAAATATATGCAGTGAGAATACATAAAATTGATGGGTACAAAAGCGAGAAAGGTTTGCTTATTTTTACAACAGGCAAACAAATCTATCAGACTTTTCTTATCTATGATAAGAAAACACGGCTCATCAAGCACCTAGCGATTTGTGTTCGTTTGTAATAAAATAGCGCGAAGAGAACGTTTCTATTTTGTACCCTCAATCTATGACCACCTTGCTCGTTAAAGATACCTAACTACGTGCGCGTACACAAAAGAAGAACAAAGATTTTTGATCTCGAAGATATTTCCATAAAATTTTAACCCTATATATAATCTATTATTTATATGAAGCGCTGAATCTTAAAAACTTTTAATCGATTCTTTAGCGACCAACGGTGGAGTTTGAATGAAATATAGTAATTATTACAAAGAGAATACATAAATGCAAAAAGAAACTAGCGTAATTATGTAGTACAATGTTTCAGCCAATCACTACTTGTCACGTTATTTGTGACAATTTTTTTACAAATCTATCGTGATTGGAGGAATTTCTTTGATCTAACATTTTGTTTTTTGTTAATAATAAATGATGTTTATGATGTACATACCACAATTGATATTTTATTTTACGCGACTAATAAATAACGAGTAATTTCCTCTGGCAAATTATTCCGATTTCCATGAGTTACGTTCAGAATCTTAATTCTCTTGTCTGCGTGTAACTTCTCGAATAAGGCCGCGTGTTGTTGCGGCACTTTGTGTATTTGCGGGATAGTCCCGATCACGAAGGCTTTCTTAGAAGAACCGAAAAATATGTCTGTTACTTTCTTCTTGAATTCTTTGCTAAATAACTCCATTTTACCGATTTCGTCGACAAGTAATACATCCTGCAATAGCAATGTGAACGTTATCGAGCTGTCGAAGCAATCAAAAATTTACCTTGAGGCAAATCGTTATTCTTACAGTATCCAAATCCAATATTGGAAGCGCTACAGCCTCGAAATTATCCAGGAAAACGCGGTAGTTTCCCACTTGATACTTGGAAGCCTTTTGCGCCTCTGTTAAGCTTCTGTCCGTAAAGAAATGTCAAATACAATACGTATTCAGTTACGCTTCGTTGTCATTGTTACGAGCAAACACGTACTTTAACCGTGCCAAGGATAATCTTCTTCCAGGATCCTTTACTTCCACGATGTCGAAACCAATCCTAGAGCCGTTCCGATCTCGCACCTCCTCCGTGTAAAATCCGTCGAACCCGCTGCCCTTCTTCTCCAGCGCAGATGCAATTTTTTTGCAAACCGTGGTTTTACCTATGCCTATAACATTTTCCCCCTGATAATAATTTGTGTTTCAACAATGTTAACATGGAGAACATTACTTTTATTTTTTTCTTCCTAAGAAGTTATATTATGTGTTTGCACGTGCCTATTTATTGTACTCACAATAACAACGATATTTAATATTCTGTGTACAAAAGTGTTATTTATTAATTTATCTGCATGAAAAGTGAAAATATATCAAGAGTGCATTTTATTATTTGATTTAATATTATTTTCCAGATAGAGAACCTTGCCAAATATCCGAGTAATATTCAAGATATTTGGGTACTTGAGTATTGGCAGCAGTAGATAGAGAATAAGTGTTGCATCTTAGTTAATGTAGGATATATTTTTAAGCAATATAATTAAAAAAAAAATCTTTTATAAACAAAGACATAGATTAGTTACTGAAGTTTCATGTAAAATATATAAAGACAACTTTTCTCAAAATAGAATGAATTTGGGTGTGCGTGTATGCTTATTTGTTTGTACATGAAAATGTGTAAAAAACAACATGTATCTTTATTTTAATTAGATTTAATTAGCATTTTTTTTTTTTAATAATTTTTGAATCCGCTGAATTTTCCTGTTAAAAGTATCAATAGAATTATTACTTGCAAATAATGAGCATGAGGTGCAAGAGCTATCATTTCCAATTAAATGATTATAATTGATTATGAAAACATTCATTATCGAAGCGTTTAATTATTCAATTTACATTTATTTATCTCGAAATCTTTCACGAGACCCAGCGCTTTTTTTTGTTTATTTTATTCGAATCTTCCCACCCTCGAACCTAACCTAGCCTAACCTGGTGGACCCGTGAGTAGTACGTGCAAAGGCCGCGACGCGCCGCCAGTTTCCATGACTCGCAGCCGTGTTTACTTCTTGAATCCGGGTACGGATGTGA